CACTTTTAATGGCGCCATAGTAACAGTTTCATGTAATGAGAATAATGATAGTGGGAGCAGAAAAAGTGTGTGTCTTGTACCTGCAGGGCTCCAGACCAGGACTATTTAGTCACATTTTGCGACCATGGAGCACCACTGCGACATGCAAAATCATCATGTCTAACAGCGCCGTGGTAAAAGTTTAACTCAATGAGATTAACAATAGCGTGAGCAGAGGAAGTGTGTCTTTGTACCTGCAGGGCTCCAGACCAGGACTATTTAGTCACATTTTGCGACCATGGAGCACCACTGCGACGTGCAAAATCACCATGTCTAACAGTGCCGTGGTAAAAGTTTAACTCAATGATATTAACAATAGTGTGAGCAGAGGAAGTGTGTCTTTGTACCTGCAGGACTCCAGACCACTACTATTTAGTCACATTTTGTGACCATAGAGCACCACCACCACATGCAAATATCATTAATATATGGACTGAAGAGCTGCTGGTTTGTTTCCAGCTGACAGCGAGCAAATCGCTAAGTTTAATGGCACCGTGGCAACAGTTTAAAAGGTTCACCATACTTTCTTTAACTTTATTATGACAGAAGCTACTTAATTTCACTTTATTGTGACTGTAGTTTATTTAATAATTTTGTATTTTAGTGATCTACAGCACTTAAGAGGACATTTCAAAATATTTAGTTTTATATTGTATGTCGCGACAGTCTTAAGATATTGCCCAGACCTAGTTGAAACATAGAATGAAAAAAAAAGATGGACAAATAACAGCTCCCCAAAGGTGAAACCAAAACATCTCGTTCGCCCCCTGGTGGCTGGATGCAGTATGGGACATTTAATTAGTTGTTTGATGCTCTAAAAAGGGGATTTAATGTCATGATTGACAGCAGTGTGTACTAATCTATGTGCTTGCTATCAATGGTGCTGCTTGCGATTGGTCGGACTGGTGTTTCGGCAGTTTGGGACACTGTTTACATGAGCAGGAAAGAGGGGTTAACCCAGGGACAGCAGAGGTGCAGTGTGAATCGCCCTGTGCTTAGGGCAACCCCAGGTTAGCAGTGTGTGTGTGTGAAGTGGGGCTAACTTAACCGAGGGCTAACCTTAAATATGCAGAATATGCAGTGTGAAAAGTGCTTCACTGTGGTGCCAACGGGAGGTCACACCACCAACCTGTGACTGTTTCCAAACAGCATCAGAGCCTGTTCTTTAAAGTTAAAAGACATCTCTTGTTGACAGTCACTTTGGCTCTGTGGAAATGTGCTCGTTCACCTCGTCGTTGAGTTTTGATTGATGCCAACATCAGTGAATTTAATGATCAGTGCATTAAGTGTAATTACTGCTGAGTGAAGACGAACCTGAACACTCTGACACACCTGCACTCATTCATATGCAACATCACACAAAAAGCAAACAACTAAAAATATAAAACTACAGCTGACTGCGAAGCGCTCGTGGGTGTTCATGTTTTATTCATTCAAAAAAAGATTTCTGAGGGAAGAGTGTTTCTCATCTTCCCCTGTGGACAGATACTGTACGTCTTCTTCCTCTGCTTTATATCACTGTGATTTTTCAGGTGGAAAAATCCTCAGTGAACCCAGAATGCACTCAGTGGCACCAACACACATCTCCTTCTCCACACGTTCACTCACACACACACACTCTCTCAGCATGATTGCAGCAATAGTCTCAGGGAGCCCGATGATGACTCATTCAATGCTCCAATTTCATGTATGTGCACACAGACGCACACAACGAGATAATGAGATCTCATCCAGCTCCTGTTGGCCCCGTATGCCCTCTAATGCGGCAGCAGAACAACTGGGCCACTTAGCAATATACGTGACCACATACACACACTTGAGCGAGCCGTCTGATTGGTCCAAGTAGGTCAGCTCTTCCTAAACATGACTGGGCCACAGAGACGCACACACAGAAACATAAGTGCTGGCACACGAACGAGCTGGCGATCTGATTGGCCGTTGTGGGCTGTGCGTTCTGTACATCACTGCGTATCTGAGCCACAGGTGCCTGGGGAAGGGTGTGCGTTGCCGTAGCAACAGGAAGCAGAGGGCGGGAATAAGTTATGGTGCTGTGATGTGAGGAGACTATCAATGATGGAGGGTAATACATGTGCGACTCCCTCTGACTGACTGAGGGAGGGATGGAGGGAGAGGACAGAGGGTGTCTGAGGTAAGACATTTATGTCAGAGGAGATACATCCATCTTTGTCTCTCTCTGTCCTTCCTCCCACGTCATTCTCTCTGTTTCCCAGTCGCTCCCTCCTCCCACCTCTCCTTCTATTACTCCTCACACTCTCCCTGTGCACTGTCTCTCCCTCGTCTTCCCACTTTGTCAAATACAGAACAGCGTGTGACCAAACTCCCGGATTACATCAGTGGATTACAGCGAGCAGAGTTAATATGCAGCAGCAGTGCCGAGCATCAACAATCGTCCTGTTAAAGCTGCTCCACAGTTACAGTAACTGACGATGATTTTGGACTCGTTATGTCCGCTGTGGAACGCCCTGATGTTCCCGCTGAAACTCCACGCCTCCTCCTGCAAGACAAACTTGAATATTCCAGAACAGTCCCAGTTTCTTTCCTGAGAATTCCAAACATGAAGTCCATCACTGATGCAGTTATTGGGGTTTAATGTGAGAGCAACAACTAGATAACAATACAAATCAGATCAGGGCAAAATAACTTCACTCCAGTTCTCAGTAGCGTGATGGTGACATCACTACCTCCTGAGTCAAATAGCTTTTCAGTAGTGAAGTTAATTAATTGACTGAGTAGCGCAGAAGCTTTTTCCCCCAGGAAAAGCTCCACCCTAAAACTGAGGGTAAGTCATGTGACTGACGCCAGCGCCACACCAAGGCATATAGATGAGGGAAGCACTTCCTGTATGACATCACATACTAATCCTTCAGTTTACTCTGCTTGCTGCTTCGCTATTGGCTTTTCTTGGCAAGACCCGCCCTCCTCTGCCTCTGATTGGCTTTAAAACAGGAGTCCACAATCAAATTGGTGACATCACAGTAGCTATTAGGGCTGTACCCTGACAGTCGACCACAAAGCTCATTAGTCGGCAAGATTTCATTGGTCGCTTAGTTGCAGGGAAAAAAAAAAATCAAATGTGAAACTCTATCAGGAGCTGCACCTTGTCAAAATAAATCCAAACCTATATGACTGGACCATGTGTGACTTTACTTTGAAAGGACAGACACAGGAAGTGTCCTCGTCAGGTTAATCTCCAGGGCTGGTACCTGCGGTTATTCCACAGGCTAGTTAATAACATGTCGGGCAGGAAATCCAAAGTGTGGGATCATTTTGAGAAGGTGAAGGACGAACCCAAGGTGATATGTAAACTCATCTTCATTGGTCGACTACAAACATGACGTATCATCTGAAACATGGAAGTAGCTACATGCCCATTAGCCCACAGCGTCATTAACAGGCGGCTCGCTCAGTGTGTGACGTGCACTTGGAGATAAAATATAGGCCTATATTAATGAAGGTTCATTAGTACGGTTTGTATTTCTCTGTAATGTAGCACAGTGTTAACAATGTTACTGAACCTTGTGAGTTGTAATGGAGCCCGATTTTTGTGACGTCACCTTTGTTAAATGCTGCTGTTGTCCCTGGCTTCATATAAGAGAGGAAATTTCGGCTAGCCGCTAAGCTAATTTATACAATCTAAAATGCCATAGGCTTGTGCTAATAACATTAGCATGTTGTATTTGTTTGGAAAACGTGTTTAGTATAAGACAGTTGTTTTGTCAGTGAACCTTGTGAGCTGTAATGGAGCCGAATTTTGTAACGTTACCTTTGTTAAATGTTGCTGTTTTCCCTGGCTTCATATGAGCAGAGGAGAAGTCTGCTAGCTGCTAGGCTAATTAATACAATGTAAAATGCCACAGGCTTGTGCTAATAACGTTAGCCTGTTGTATTTGTGGGGAAAATGTGTCCAGATAAAGACAAGTGTTTGTCTGTGAATGCTGCGAGTTATAGTGAAGCTGATTTGTGTTTGAAACTGTCTCTATTAAGCCATGTTTAATGTGTGTTTAATGTGTGTTTTGAATCAACTGCACTTTACAGCACTTCACAGAAACCTCAACGCCAACTAGTGTTTCGGAGGTGTAACTGTTGTGCAGCTGTATATTTTCAAACAGGGGAATAAAATCTCTGTCTTTGCATTTTATTTTGATCACAGTCTGTTTTTATAAAACTGCTTGTGACACCTCGAGCCAATTGTGTAGAAAACACTGAGATATAAATTCATGTATCACCAGTGAATACCCAGATACGAGTTTTTGTCCATATCATCCAGCCCTAATCTGAACCAAAGCACCAACAGACAGACCAACATCACCATCCCTGTGTGGGTAAAAATCTACTGTAATGTGTTTAAAGTTTAAAACCTCAGACCACACTGAACACTTTCTCACCTCTCTGTGGACAGACTGAAGACATGACGTCTATCGTAAGAGATAAAATCTCCAAAACCGTTGACCATAAATGTGGGATATGACTTTTTCAGCAGACCAAACCTTGTTTACCGCGAACATGCACCAACTGAAGCATGGCGAGATAAGTTTACGTCTCACCCTCAGTTAGGGATGCTTCCAGCTACAAACTTCCCACAGACTTGCATTTCACGCCAAATCTCTTCAGTATGAGGTTTCTTTGCAAAGACGTGTTTCTGCAGCGCTTAATGACCTTTACTGCAAAGCACTCTTTCCATCTCTCTTAATCTCCTGTCTGTCTCCACTCTGTATCATCTAATAAGGCAGAAATGCCATTTAAATGCCAGTTATGATGCAAAGAACTGAAAAGATAAGAGATGAAAAACAGGAAAACTTTTTTTCTTGTATTCATTCGAGTACAGTAACAAGAGATGAGAGCAAGAGAAGAAGTGGACGAGCCTGCAGAGCCTCTTGTTACTGAGGGGAGGGACAGTGTGAGCAAAGCATGCTGGTAAACAAAATAAAAAGGGAACTCACCGCTGCATTCTTCATGGATCTCCGTGTTTACTCTTCTGACTTTCCGAGGCTCATAGTGCGCTGAGTTAAATCTGCCTGGGACTTCTTTATTCTGTGTGACTTCCCTCCAGAGTCAGAAAAGCCGCTGAGGCTCCCCAGAACTTGCGCCGCTCTGTGGGTAGCTTTACTTCTCTGGAGGCGTCACAGGGTGAAGCTCAAGGCAGGGGGTGCTTCTGAGTCTCTTCTGTGATCTCCGAAGGCCTCTTGGGCAATTGCTGATTTATGCTACTGCTTAGATGGGGAGGCGTGTGTATGATGTGACTTTGCTGAGAAGCATATGAAATGAAGTTGCCTGCCAGGAAGGACTCCTGAGTCTCTCTCTGCTTCTCTGGAGGCCTCCCTGGCTACTGTTGCTATACTCCTGCCTCTAAGGCAAATGGAAGATGCTGAAGTGAGTCGTCTACTGGGTAGATTGAAGCACCAGGCTGGTGAGCATGTGTTTCCTGCTGTGTGTGGACCGAAGCACCAGGATAGTGAACGCTGTTGTTGAAAAGTTCCCTTCAGTAGAAGTCCTTGAGAGTCTGCTGAGGTATATAGTTTCCTGCCAGGTTTATTGTACAGAGGGTGTGTGAGGCTATTGTGAGTGTGTAGCTGCCGCTCTGGCAATATGACACTTTTCCTTGCGGTAATAACGAGCCCGAGCTCCAGGCTACAAGTGTGGATCAGTACGATTTAGGCAGTGAGCAGGTCTGAGCTGGCAGGTGGTAAGAGGTCCAAGGTCATTGCTGGTCGTCACGGTTGCAGTGAAGAGAGCTTCAGAGGCAATACAGGTTGTCATGGTAACAGCAGCGAGAGGTCACAGGTGTGTTTTTGCTCTGTGTTCCAGTCACTGGGTTGGCTGTTTCGGTGGAGGAGGTAGGCAGTGGGAGAGAATCCCTGAGGTAAATGGAGAAATGTTGCACGAAGAGAAGAAGAGGAACAGCTAATAAATTGCTTTCACTTGTTTTGTTTTCTTCCTTTCCTATTTCTGTGGGAGGTAGAGAGCAGAGGAGGTGTTCTCTGATTGGATCGGAGGACGAGGAGAGGACAGCGGGAGGTGAAGTAGTGTTGTATCAGTCTCGACTAGATTCTTCTGTCTTATGTCTTTTTTGAGAGAGAATGCTGGTGGTTTTTCCCAGAGTCCATCTGAAGGAGTCGATGCTCCGCTCTGGCTCCTAACACGCACCGGTAGGTGTCATCAGGGGCTTCACCTGCAGGAGACAACACACAGAGACGGGTTAGAATCTGACCACAGCACATGTATTATTAAAAATATCAGGATGTCCTTCATCAGAGAGTCAGTTTGTGATTTTCACGGACAGAATCTCTGATCGAATATTGGAGCTCAATTTGGTGATTTCAAACTCAGCAAGTTCTTCAGATTTAAGCAGGATTTACACTGCGTCACTCTGCAGTCACACCTCCAGAACACTAGTTGGCGGCGGGTTCTGTGAAGTTTAGTTGATTCAAAACACACAAACACACAATAAACATGGCTTAATAGAGACAACTTCATTATAACTCGCAGCATTTTCCCCACAAATACAACATGCTAACGTTATTAGGATTCCAAAATCCAAAGAACAAAAAGTTTCGGAGTATAATAAAGAGTTTAATGGTGTGTGGACAGTTTTGTTTGCTTTTATCACAACACTACAAAGTTAAAGTACCAAATAATCACCAACAGCCCGGTGAGAAGCCACTTTGAGGCAGCAACATGTTAAACAAATGTTCATTTAGACCTGAAACATTAGGATTAGACTAAACTATACTGCGGTTGAGATTTGTTAAGTTTTAGGAGCAAAGATGACTGCAAAGGTCAGGGAAAGATCATGGTAGGTTAAATAAAACCAATGTTAACTCTATGTAGGGTTCAGGAAGTAAACTGTGTTCTCTGAAGTCAGTCACGTCTTGACGGCCCAATTATCCACTGTGATCGTCTCTCCAAGAGGTTCTGCAGCATTATAACGATGTTGCACCTCTGCTTCTGAGAGATAACCGTCATAATTGCACCACCACTAAAGGTCCCTGTCAAAGAACTGGAACTTTTGGTCCCTTGAGGTATTTTAACTAAAGACCAATGCTGTCATGTCTCCAGTGAGGATGCAGTCTCTGAGCTGCACCCAAACTTTCAGAAAAAAATTGGTGCAAAACTTTCATTTTGCTCAGCAGCCAAATGTTAATGAAAGATCAAATTTTACCAGCCACTCAATAAGCTACCATTGTCTTTTTGAGCTGGTGAGTGAATCAGATCTACCAGCCACTTGTGTATTTGTCCAGCATTTGGCTGGTGGGTGGTGCTAATTTTGTACCCTGCTCACAGATCATCAGATTCTGACCACCAGCGTGCAACTGGACAATCTGCAGCACAGTATGAAGCTGTTGGAAAGGCAGCCCTCGATGGCTGAAACCATGGTGCTCCGTTGGAAAACACTGTGATGCTCTGTTTGCAATGTGAAACACCTGCTAACCCATGTCATGGAGCTCAGGTGTCTCGGGGTCTAGGGTGAGATGAAGTGTAAAGGCATGTCTAGTATGCTTGGGTGGTATCACAGTATTCTATGGTCCTTTCAAATCATGACGGTACGATTTTAAAGACCACCAAAATACAGATGTTCTTCTTTCTATTGAACTGATATGGAAATGCTGTATTGAGGTGACGCAGTTCACAGCACGAACCACCAGAGGTCAGTATCTACTGGTGGAGCAAGCAGCTGAGCTAAGAGAGATGGTGACTGCTGGTGGTGGGGATAATGTTAGAGGACTACCGAGAAGCCGGCCAGCTACAGTAGAGAGACACAGTGAGGTAAAACCACGTGTACAGCCAGATTATTTACACATCTAACTCTGAGAAGTTTATTTTGACCAGACCAGAGTTGGTGATTATTGGAACAACAGAAGGACGGTTTTGGTGGGTTTCATCTAGTTTCCGTCCAGTTTGAGCAAAGAGGGTTTTACAATGAGTTCACAAGGCGATTAAGCTCGTCTTAGTTTGGCAAAAGAGAGACTTGAATTCAGGTCATATACCGTGATATACCATAAAGCCCAGTGAAATGCCAGGAAGGTATAAAGGTATGAAAAATAAATAGCACCCAAGCCTAATGTCGAACTGGGAGGAGAACCCCAGGCAGACACAACACATCGAATGGGATTACATATCCAAACTTACCTGGGACCATCAGGTGACCCCAGGAGGATACTTTGCTACCCCTGTTCATTTCCTCGCTTATATAAAAGACTTCATCAGTCCTGATCGACCGGAGGAGGGTCCCAGGCATTTAAAGCCTCCCTTCATTTTACAAATATTTTTAAGAATAACATGACCCTACAGAGGTTAAATCTTGGATGTGCAGTTTATTTTCATTTTCATTGGGTAAAAATCCCATAATAAACTCAGAGCATATTGTAATTCAAGTGAGAACTAGACTTCTGCAGCTCCTCTTGGCTCAGTTTTCAGGCTTTAGAAAATCTCGCCAGTGACAGATTCTTTGGCAAATCACTTCAAAGAGACGGCGTTCCTACTGGCTACTCTACAGATGCAGATGTGCCTGCACGTCCCTTCAGATTGTGAAAGTCTGAATCAACGGAGGAGAATCCTGCAGAGAAAGTTGCTGTTCCAGCATTTGGAACGACTGCCTACACTGCAAAGCAAAGATAGACTGATCAAAAAGAGAGTCTGTGGGTGCTCTAAGCCCTAGAGTGGTCTGCTTTGGTCTGAATCAGGGATTCATGTTGTTCCAAAGTTGTATAATTGCCTAGAGTTGGTTCGTGTTCTCACGGCAGCATTTACAAGAGGACCAGATCAAATGCCTTGTGTGAGAAAGCTGCTCTTGATTGGTCAGAATTTCCATGTGGGAAAAATCCAGGAAGTAAAGCAAACGTTGAAGAAGAGTACACTTGCAAGATAAATGTGACACTTTCTAATGTCACAATGGAGGGACAACTACGCAGGTTGATTTTAGCGCTGCTCATCGTGGACTATATTGCTGTCATTGTTCATTTTAGTCAAATCATACAGTTTGAAAACGAGGCGCGGCTCCAACTAGAAAACAATGTTTTGATGCATTGGATGTGCTGAATGTGCATATTAAGGCAGTACAGGAGGAGGTGCACATTAATAATCCTCCAGGACTGTAACATGCTCATGTTTAACCCTAACAATGTGTCATGTGACTGCAGTTGCTTCACATCCAGGTCGGAACACCTTCTCACCACAAACCAACCGCACCAGAGTTCCTTTGGAACCGGACCAAGACCACCTCTTCAAGAAGGTCTCAGTCTGGTTGTTTTGGTGTGTTCACACCTGCACAAATGAACCGCACTGAGGGGGCAAATGAAGTTGAGTTCAACTGAACCCTACCAAACAGGGCAGGTGTGAAAGTACCTTGACACTGAACAAAATAATCCACGTCAATATCAGCAAGAAGTTTCAGAAGTGGAGAGAAGATGTTGCTAATAGTTCAGCCTTCTGCTAACCAGAGCCAAGTGCTCAAAGCTGTGGCTTCAGCTTCACATTTATGTAGCTAACGTTAACTAGAGCCTTGAACCACAGTGTGTCGTCCGCCTCACTCCCTGCCACTACAGACCACCTCACCAGGAGTAAAGCCAGCAGCACTTTAGGAGTTGGCCCCTAAATCAACAACCACAGCAACTCAAATCCAGCCAGCACAAACCTCAGCTCCACAGACTCTCTCGCCAAATCAGCAAACTTCCTGCTGCAGCTGTTACACAGGTTGGACCCGGCGCTGCTGCTTGCCACCAGCCTGCAGTGACACCCAGCCATGGGGGTTTGCCCTAGTTGAATTCAAGCCACCAAATAGGAGGTTGGTCTCCTGAGCTGCTGTCAGCTCTCCTCCCGGGAAGGAGTCCACAGTGGCGGGGAGTGAGGTGGAGGGACTGTGGGGTGTCTAGCAGCTAATCCATGTCTCATTAGTGGTCTGATAAACTGAGACAGAGCAGGGCAAGGAGGGGCTGAGAGAATGAGCTGTGTGCACCTGTACAACAAAACAGATGAAATGAATCAATGTATGGGAAACACTGAGTTACTGTCGTCTGGTGGGAGGGGCTTAGGACAGACAGGACAGGGCTGCAGGTTTATGCCTCCTCCAGCTATAAATAACTTCCAGTCAACCAGAACTGAAGAGGCCTTTTGGATGAGAGGCGGAACTCGTCCAGGTGCCCTCGATTTAGCCCGTCTAGATTCGCTACCACTTTGAGCCGAAGCCAGAAAAAAGACAGATGGAAGTTTAAAAAAAACAACAGTTACCAAACAGCAACACAGGGCAGAGGCATGATGCAATGCATAATGCAAGAGGAGAGGTTGGATGTTAAGAAAGTCGTTTCTATTTTTCTGAGTCATGACAGGGCCGAGGGTTTGTTCTTACCCAGTGTTATTTGGTATTTTTCTCCTGTAATTACGGACACAGCGGTAAGGTTCAGCGCATCAGGAGTGGCGAAGCACTTACTGCGTGGATCACGAAAATACTCCTAATCATAGTTAAGAACATCTGTCAAGCCGTGATGGCTCTTGGTCGCAATTAGGTGCAGACAAATGGAAGATATCTTCTGTGCCATGTACGAGTTGTCAAAGACATGCTGGCACAAGAAAAGTGATTCAGACGTGGGAACAAAACTGAAGCAGCAGCGTGCAATGATGTTGTGTTTCTGCATGTCACAGAGGCTCCGCAGCGCTGACAGAAGCCAATAACAAAATGCACAGAGTTCATTCTGAAATAACAAAAGCCACAGTACTTGTTCAGTATGCAAAGCAGCTACTGGGTGGAAATCTATTGTTGGCAACCCACATTTGAAGGCACACAATGTACAGACGCACACACACATTCCCTGTTAATCTTCCTCCATCTGTGCAAGCTGCTCTTGGGTTGGGTCTCTGTCACACACACATACATCTCTTTGTGTGGGTCCTTTCTTATACAGACAAACACATATGTTCATGCTCAAGACACACACGAACACGCACAAGTGGAGGCTCCACTGCTCTGTTAAGTGGTGGCGACCGATGCTCCATCAGAGTCAAGGTCTGTCCTCCATTTTAAGAACATATTAGAGACTCACGGTGAGCGTTTTTATCTGAATACGTTCTCTCTGCCTGGCTGAGCTTCGAGCACTCTTAACCCTCAAACTGTAGAACCACTCGTCCATACATCACAGTGGAAAGGACAGGCGGATACAGAAACTCCTACAGTACAGT